GAGAGAGAGAGAGAGAGAGAGAGAGAGAGAGAGAGAGAGAGAGAGAGTTATCTTTAATCTACCACCAGCTCCCTCTTTATCAAATTAGCACCACAGCAATTTCTTGAGAACTCTTAGTTCCAGGACCCTCAGAGATATAGAATCCTTGCATGCTCAAGTCCTTTGCATGAAATTGTATGATAATTCCATATAGCCTATGTAAAGCATGTTCAAACACCTCCAGATAACATGGGGAATACTATGCAAACATTATTCAAATAACTGTTTATTCTGCACATGTACTTTAGAAATTAGTTTTCCTCTGTAGTCCAGATCAATCCACAGCTGGCTGGATCTACAGTGGTAACCAGTGGGGACAGAAGGTAGATGGCATTTAAACGTTAATAAATGTCTTAATTTTCCTACATTTAGCTTTTTCCTTTTCAGCCTGGGGCCTAATAAGAGTCATCAATCTTAGTTATTAAGTCAAGAAATACCACTATAAAATAAGAGCATCTGTGGTCTCCGCTCAGGAAAATGATTACAAGCTGATTGAAGAGCATTACTTGGGTTTTTCCAAGGAAAAGTGTGTCAAGATAGTTTCTAAAATCCTCAAAAGTCCACAGATTTAGGGATTAGGAACACATCATGATGACAGAGCATATGGCAGGGAGCATCAGGCCCTGGATTCAAACACAACAGTTAAAAACAAAACAAACAAACAAACAAAGCCACACAGCAGCAACAACAATAAAACAAATCAGCCAAATTGTGACAAACCATAAATACACACCATAGCATGGTTTGCTGTCATGCAGTATAGGCTGAAGACAGTGTTAGCTCAGAATTCCAACCAACAGTACAAAAGGCAGGAGAAACAGAAGCTGTGCTTGGCTCATATGGAGACATCTGAAGCTATCCTTAAAGAGGAGGTAGAAGACCATGAATCTACCCAGAAGTACTGAGGCTATTGATTCAAAAAGAACCCCTATCATGTCTGAACGACAAGACTAAACATGCAAGAGTTCCAGATGTCTGACTTTCATTGTTCCGAGCCTTTTGACTGATGCCTTTTTGATACTGGCTCCCTGGTATCTGTGGCTTTTGAAGGAAAATATATTTTAC